TAATTAATAAGATATTAGTAATAAATTTGTTGAGAAAATATCTAACAAGATCTTACTAAGAAGTTTAAATATTTTTATAAAATATGCATTATTTAATTTCGTGATTAATATATATAAATATCTATATTACTGTTAATTAAAATAAAAATTGTTATATTTTATAATTTAGTTATATTCTATATTATATTAAAATAAAATGCTATGTGAAATGAATATAAAATATATTAAATTGGTAAAAGGAAAATATTTTGTTTTAAAAATTTTCTTTTATTCAAATAAATAAATAAATATCACTCCCTTTTAAAACATATTAAAGTTATTAAATCATAGAACATTTTTTTTTACAAAAAAAATTAACATATATTTTTGTAACTCACAACAAATACATTATATAATAAATTATATATAAATATTTTTTTTATTTTAAAACTTACAACAATATATTATATAAAAATAATTAAAATTATACAATTATACAATATATAAGAATAGAATATAAATCTTCTATATTTGAAAAAAATTGTTATATTTTTATAAAATGAAAAAATACCCGCACGGATGTGCGGGTTCAAAATCTAGTTTATGTAATTAAACTGTTTTTTTTTTTTGAGATAATGTGTCTTACTTTTAAAAATAGTTAATATTTATAGAATAAATGTGTTTTTAAAATGATGCGTCTATTCAAATATATAATTTAAATGTATCATTTAAAATAATTACTTATAATTAGATAGTTGTGATTATTCATAAAATAACTAATTTTAATTTGGAAAACTGTTATTATTCACTATCTTTAATTTGAAATTTGTGACTATTCATAAAAATAACTAATTATAACTTGAAAAATTGTGACTATTCACTACCAATAATTTGAAAGTTATGATTATTCATTAAAATAATTAACTTTAACTTGAAAAGTTGTAATTATTCATATAGAATTTTAAAGACTTATAAATAGTATATGTCCATAAGTTTTTCCAAGTAAAAATTTCACTAATCTAAAAAAATATTGAAGAATAAAAGTTCATTCTAACAAAACTATACTTCTGATTATCTTTATTCTATAAATATGTAATTCATGTCCTATAATTTCGTATACTTAGATTATATAAAAAAGTTTGATACCGACACTTAGGTTACATCCGTTATAATGATTGTTCATGATACAAGTTTATGTTCGACATAATTAACGTTTTATGCATGAATTGATGATTTGCATGTATTTAAGAATTCTGATGTTCGATTAGAAAGTAAAGAATTACATTGCTTAAACATAATACATTTGTTTAAGTACATTCATAACCATGTATATAAGCACATCATC